TTAAGTTCAGATCAATTTTTCATGAGAAACAACCAAGTAAACTGAGAAAAATCATCTATAAAAACAACAAAATAACGTGATCCCCCCATTGTAGCACTAGGTAATGGGCCCTAAATGTCAGAATGTATAAGATCAAACGGTGCATGACAAACAAAAATACTTTTATTAAATGGTAAAGTAGACTGTTTTGCAAGTTGACAAGGAAAACAATCTAAAGTATCTGGAATAATATGACCTAATTGACTAGTAGAAACTAAAGACTTCAATCAACTAACAGAAATATGCCCTAAACGATAATGCCAAAGATGAAAATGGGACAAGATGGAAGCGGATGTAGGAGCAGCAAACTGTGTGGAGTTCGGAACATAGAGATAGATGAGCTCATAGAGACGTCCATATTTACGGCTGATCCCAAGAGTCTGTCCCGTCTGAGGGTCTTGCACTAAACAATCATTAGTAGAAAATGTGACAGTTAAACCAAACTCACATAATTGACTAATAGAAATAAAGTTTAAGGTGAGAGTAGAAATAAAATGAACATTTCATAAAGACAAATGAGACGTGGGAACAGAACCAACATGACTTACAGACATAAGATAACCATTAACAGTATGAATGGAGGGAATATAAGAAGATAAAGAGATAGAAGAAAATATAGTGGAATTGGAAGTCATTTGATTATAACAGGTTGAGTCAAAATACCAAGAAGATGTACCTGAAGTCATAGACAAAGCAGTAGAAGAAGGTGTACCAGAGGTGAAAAGAAATTGTTTAAACATGGCCTTAACATCGGTTTAGGAAAAGACAGGAGTAGACGAATCTAAAGGCTCTGATGAATCCTTAAAGGCAGCAGTAGCAGTACGATAAGTGGGCAGAGATCGAGAATGATTCCCGGAGCGATGTGGACCCTCTCCGCCCGGTGAAGAGCCACCATGAGAGGAGTGACTAGGGGGAGATGATCGGGATGGATTGCGAAAACGATCTTGCTGTAGATGACCAACACCAATCTTATTACAATACTCGCAGGATCTGACTGGGCAATGAACGAGAAGATGAATAGAAGAAAGGCCTCGATTCTGACAGTAAATGCAAGCATTGGACCACTAGGTGGTCAAAGAAGAACCCCATGACAGAGGAGTGGCAAGAACAGAGTCCATGTGATAAGTGTAGAGAGTACCAAGACATGTCTCATCAGATAACAACTTTGAAATAGCCTACTCAAGAATAGACAGGAGAGTACGATGAAGTAGAGATGTATGCACAAGCTTGAACTGAGTAATGAGAGCCACGAGAAATTGACTACCGACTATTAATTGGGATACTTAGTGAACAAAGTAGCATCTTCAGTATAAGGCCATTCAGGTTCAAAGAGAGCAAGTTGGTCCTAAACAGAATATATCTGAGAAAGAAAATCCTTAATGGAATGACTATATTCTTGATGCATACAGTGAAGTTGACTCTGAAGTTGATGTTAATGAGCAAGACCAGTAGTCTAGTATTGGTCTTTCAGAAAATCCCAAATGTCTTTAGCAGGAGTGATAATAGAGTCAAGTTGAAAATGACCAAACTGGAGACTGATAGAGGTAATAGATGTATTTCGAAGCCAAGCAATGATCTGGTAGTTCTTACTATCCCAATCCTCTAAACAGTCTTCATATTTGGCTGCAGTTTTATCAGTCTCTTTTACCGGTTTGGTCACATCCCCAGTGATAATGCGCCGGAGTTTCTTGCCTTTTAGAAAACCAGACATGGCTTGGGCCCATAACATGTAATTGAAGCCGTCAAGAATAACAGATATCGGTTGAGAGGTATTATGACGATCTATAATAATAGTATGAGAGAGGCAAATAAATAGTAACAACACTTTCGAAAGAAAACTACTGAAAACAGAGTATACTAGTGGATTTAGAAGGTCCAAAATAGGTGGAAACCAAATGAATCGGTTAAAAAATGATCAAAACTTGACCTAACAGGCCAAAAAAATAGTAGGGTTGCCATCACACAAGAGGTTGATGACGTCAGTAGGCGTGCGGCAAAAGCATGGAGTGCTGACGTCACGTGTGACGTAGAAACGAGTGTAGGACTGACAAGAGCGTGATGTCAACAACACAGAGAGAACGACTGAGTTGCTAAGTAAGCGGCTGACGCGACTAGGGTTGAGGTCAGCAAAACGGAAGTTGCTTGTGCGCGCATGATAGTGCGTGTATGGGTGATAATGGAAGTGATTGACGCACTGTTAACAAAAGCGACGCAAAGTTAGGATTTAAAACAAAAACTCTGAAACTATGTTACAATAGTAGAGAGAGAGGAAATAATATGTATTGTATTCAATCAATTAATTTATACAATAGAAGGCCTGTATATATAGGCTAAGAAAGAGTATCTTACAAGAAATCTAATTATGAGAAAGAGTATCCTACACGAAATTTAACTATGGCAATACAAACATATCTAGGAAATCAATGCCTAATTTATCTAGGAATCAATACCTAATATATTTAGAAATATATACCATATATACAATATATACATTAACACTAGCGCCTCTCTGTAGCTCTTCTCTCCTCCCTCTCTTATCGCCGCTTTGCCACCGCCACTGCCACTACCTATTTCTTTATATTTGCAAAAAATAAAATAAAAATCCAAAGCCCAAGGGCACATGAACCCCTCGTCTCTCTATACCTCCGTCTTTGCGTGGTGTTCCATGATATTGTGATTAGTAAAAAAAATGAGATATTATATTTTTGTATTGGGTGATTGAGGAAAAATGGGTCATGGTAATAATAAATGTAACCTTCACGTGGTACTCTGAGAGTACCTAATAATTTTCTTTTATTATGTAATTTATATAGTACTTAAATATATATATATATATATATAGATAAATTACAGTTACCTTCCCTGAGATTTCTGAAAATTATAGGGACCTCCTCTACGATTTCTGAAATTACATTGACCTCCCTTACTTTTTTTTGATATTGTCAAGATTCTCCCTCTTGTTAATTTAGCCCAAACGGTGTTAATTTGGTTGTGCAAATGACCATAATTCCTTTTAAATACTATTCATAACCTCAATTTTCATTTTATTTTTCACAATTTTTATGTAATTCCTTGACTCTACATTTTTTTTTCCGCTATAAGTTTTTTTAACTTTTATACGGTACAAAAAATAAAATAAAATCAATCATTAATGAAAGTAAGAAAGCATATTCGTGTTTCTTTTTAAAATTAATTTTAAGATTTTATTTAATAAAAATAATTTAAATAAGAGAAACAAAGATTAAGATATAGATTTTAGATGTAATAAATAACAAATTATTTGAGTATTTTATTATTTTCAAATAATTTCATTCTTCAAGTAAAATTCCATTTTAATTAGATGTAAGAAATGGCAAATTGTGTAAATAGTTTATTATTCTCAAATAATTTTTTATCTTTCATTCTCTATCAACTAATTTTACTTTATTGTAGTGTGATTAGATTTTTTTTTACTTTTATATTTATTTTTAAAATTTTTGTTAATAAAGTGAGAAATATTGATCTTTTTTATTTTATTTTATTTTATAATATTCATCAAGTGAAAATTGAAAGACTCAAAAATATAAATTAAAATTTGATAATAATATAGGATTGTGAAAAGATAAAAATGATAATTTTTTAATATATATTTATGAGGTAGCATTTGGTAATTTTTATAAGTCAATTTCTTTTTTTATATATTATAAATATGCAATGTTATTATGTTTATTTTTCTTAAAAAAAATTTAATACACAAATATGTTTACAAATCAAAAGACAATTTACGTTTTGTAAGTTGTTATGGTATTAGGTGATGCTTGCTAGCATTGATGAATGAGAAAAAAATTATGAAAAAAAATGAAAGAAAGAACATGAGGAAAGAGAACAAATAATAATAATAAATTATGTGGTGTTGATGTTGGTTGCAGTGACATTATAAAAAAAAATAAACAAATGATAGGATAAATAAAAAGAAGAATGAATGAAATAAAATAAAGAATTTAGAATTATAGGTCTTGTTTGGTTTGATTTTGAATTTTTTTTTTTGAAAATATACTCTACGAACATTTTTTTAAGAGTAATCAAACCAAATAGATTTTCTCAAGAAACTCTCAGAAATGTGTTTGGTTATCTAATTTTCATGATTACTTTTGAAACATGTTTGCAAAAAAGGCAAACCAAATAACTTTTTGTACTTTTTATCTCAAAAACTACTCTACAAAAAAAATCAAAGTTAATTTAGAGAGAATATTTAGAAAAAGGCAAACCAAACAAATTTTTGTACTTTTTTATCTCAAAAACTACTCTACAAATATAAACCTAGTTTTTTGGTTAAATATTTCTATAATATCTTAATAAATTAGAATTTTTTTTTTAATATTGTAAAATAATGTACGGGTTTTTATTAATTTTTTTTTTTTGTAAAAGCTCATAGGAAAAGTGAGTGAAATTTACTATTTGAATATATAAGAACAATCTTGATATTTTTGACTCATAATACATGACATCAGCATGATATGAACATATTCTGTTAAATTAACTAACAGAAAATTAAACGGTGAAGGAATCTTAATAATAATTTCAACAGTAAAGAAAAGTTCTATAATTATTTTAATTACAGGTAATTGTCAGAAACCTTAGGAGAGGTAAGTGTAATGTACCTATGTATATTGTAACAAGTGACAGAAGATTATATATATAAATGGGGAAATTATTTAATAATTCTGAAATATTACGTGACCATATTCCAAGCCAATCACCAATTATTTAGTCTTCATATTGTTCTTTCATCCCCAATATAAATTGTGAAACCTTACCCCACTTTACTAATCAAAATTTTATGAAAAACCACATGTCCATATTAGGAAAGTACAAAATAATCTCCCATATAAATGTGCATTCATGTTTGTATCTATGATTTAAGATGAGAAAGCAAGAAATTTGAAGTGTTAGTTAAGGGTAGAAAGTGGAAACTCACCCACCTGAACGTAGTAAAAATCAACTTTACCAGCCAAGGGAAAGCTCATACCTCCTGGACAAATAAAAAACCAAAAAAGTTAGGGATCATAAATTTTTTTTCATGATTATGAAAGATTTATGATCTTTGAATTACCTTAATTAATGTGTAGTGCTTTATTTTAAGTGTAATACAAAAGTCACAAAATTTTCATGATTATTTTCATGAAAGGCTTTTCATGATACCTAGCATTGATGAAACAGGATATCACAAGATATTAATGCCATTAATGCTTGGCATAAATTGAATGATAATTACTGTGTTCTTACTTATTAAGATTCTAAGGTGAAGCAAAACAAATAATGTTGTCAAAAATAATTACAGACATCTAAATAATTAAACAAAAATTATCTGATCTGGAAATAACGGCTAGTGAGAAAGTTATATCCAGTTCTGTGATCGAGAATTACCTGAGAAGGTAGTAGTTTTGATGCAGATAGCGGTGCCGAGAAATGAGCAAGCAGTAGATAAGAAGAAGATGGAGGAGATGATACAGCGGTAGTGGTAAAAGAAAGTTGTTTTGTTGATAAACCACAATCTGTGAATGTGAGTCTTCCACTCCATCATCATCATATCATAATCATCAAACCCCTCTTAAATAAAATGCTGAACAATGATTTGCTTCTTTTGATGTATCGATCTGATTATCTTCTCCTTGTCCACCTCTCTAACATCGAATTCTCAACTTCTTCTTGACTAATCTCTCACCCGGACACTCTGATTTCCAATCTCTCTCACTCTCTAAAAGTCTTCTGTTTTTTTTTTTGGAGGCTCATGTGTTGGGACTGTGTGAAAAGTGAATTGAATGTATGGGTGTCTAGGTCTAGCACACAGACACGCGCACAGAGAAAGTGGCTACCTCTGCTTTGCCATGTTTGGGCCTCAGATTGTGTTTGAGGCTTTTCCCTTTGTGCCTTTCAAGAACTCCCAAATCCCAAGCCAACCACACAACTCAAAATACCTTCACACTTCACAGCCACTATCTTCCCCCTCCAAAATCCCCCTCTCTCTCTCTCTCTCTCTCTCTCTCTCTCTCTCTCTCTCATGTAACACTATAAAAGCCTAGATCTATCCATGCGATATATGCCTACATAAAATATAGAAGATATATATGTTATGCTATGGTGGTGGGTTGCACTTTATAATTAGGGATAATTTCAATGCTGTGTATATTTTAAAAAATATTTTTAAATTAATAATAAATTTTATAAATATTAAAAGATAAAATTATAAATTTTATCACAATTTTCCTTTATAATTAAGCTTCTAATGCCAATAATTATGTTTACATATTTACATGGGTCTCGAGATTAATTGGTATGCATGTTGACTCCGGCACCCAGTTATAAAAAAAAAAAAAAAAAAAAAAAAAAATAAAATAAAAAAAAAAAATGTGTACATACATTGGTCCTTCAACCAAGTTCTAATGGTATATACGTCCACATGTCAAAAACTACCACCATATGTGAAAAATTCGGAAAATACTATTTATCATAAATTTTTGTTTCCAAAATAAATAGGATTATTTAAATTAAAAAATTAGACTTAATTTTCAAATTCAATGTTCAATTAACCAATCACTCTCATGTGTTATTTTTTTCTCTTATATCTTTTTTAATTATCAATCAGGCATTTCATTTACACATCATTAAATCTAAAAAGTGAGATTAAAAAATAACCTTCATTTTCTTTGCGAATTAGTTCAGAAGTAAAGTGTATCTTGTAAATTTAAAGCCTTATTTGTCATCTACTATATAATCCATCTTTTTATCTTTTTATCTTTTTTCCATCACATCACCTCTCTACTTTTCTGCACATCTTTTCGTAAAAAGACAAAAAGTGCACTTTTTTAGCACACCCCAAACCAACCCTAATGATGGAGAAATGTGAAAACATACAGAATGATTATGGTTGAAAAATGGTAATTTATTTATTAGTTTTTTTACGTATACCATATTGTTGGCAAAATTGTTTGGTAAAGTGATGTTATACATATGGCACTAATTCACTTGTGTGATCCAAAGCACAATTATCAATAAATGTTTATGACATATTTATTTGTGTCTAGGAGTGAGAAATGAAATAAGAAATTAGATTATATGTATCATTTTTTTTTTAAACTTATTAATTCTAGAGTATCACGTAACATTACTTACATGGTTACTTTCAATAAGAGCAATTCTATAATCTCATTTCTTATTTTATTTTCTCACTTCTAAACACAAAGGGTGTGTTTGATAACGTTTACGTTTTCAGTTTATATTTATGTGTCCTGAAATAAGAAAATGAGATAAAAAATAAGATTATATATAGTATTTATAGTATTTTTTTTCAATAATTCAGAAATCACAAAACACACAAAGTAGATCATTCTTTGTTTTAGGAAATACCACCACCGTTGTCGTCACCACCTCTACCATTACCTTACCACGACTACTACCATCCCCCACCACCACTGCCATCACCTACTATCTCCACAGTGTCACTGCCACCACTACCTCACCACTAATACAACCACTCACACATTAACTTTTAAAAACATTTTTGAAAAAAAGTTGTATAAAAAAATTATTATTATTATTTTTTTGAAACAAATAAGAGACCTTATCGATTAGGGACGAATGTAAAGTTTTTATTAAATTTTCAGTTAAACAAAGATACATAAATGCATTTGTATTCAACACAACACCAAAATGCCAAACATGACTTCTTATGCAACACCCTTTCAAGATTTGAAGAAGCGATTGATAAACTTTTATTAATTTATCTAACTTAATTAATTAGTTCAAATATCTATTAAATCTCTCATTTAATATTCACCCGTCCTAATATTCCATATGGGGAATACTATATCTGAATTAACTATTAATCTAGATCCTAATTTTCTTAATCAAAAGTAAGATTATCATATGTTTAATTTGCTGAATTATTAATCCAATCCTAACCATGTACCAAAAAAAAATACCTGGTCATCATTACCACCATTACTATATATTTATATATATGTGAATGTGACAAAGGACTGCAAAGAGGCCCCAAAGGCAGTTGATATTTCACCAATGTGTCCCATAATAAAGGATGGAAGGGGATGATGCCATGCTCAGACTTGCTCACTGATCAAATGGCTCTATGAATCTCTCTCCTTCCTTCCACACATCTCATCTGTTCTTTTGATTCCAAAGGCAAATAGGTCTGGACAAAAAAGTACTAGAATTTGGTAAATTTCTTGTACTACATTGTTTTTTGACATGTACTCCCAAACAAACCTTATTATCATTTGAATCCATTTTCTTTGTTTGGTCATTTCCAAGCTTTACTGTCACATTTGTTTTTAATTATTAGGTGTAACATTTTGGTGTTTGTGGTGTCTTGTGCACCAAGGTTTAATTCACTGACAATGCCAGTGAGATACTTTTTATTCATTTATTTATTGACAAATATATATATATTATTAAAAAATAATAAACAATTACAATGAAGAAAGCAAGTTGGCAAGTTACGAACTTTGAGCACAATTCCAACTTTAGCCCGCACAGATTTTAACAATCTCTTTTGATTGCATGAGTTTGGCAATCAAGCATGCAAAGTTGCATTAAGAGTGAGTAGCGTTTTATTTGGGAATGGCTTGGTGACCTAATTGGAGAAGGGTTGTTGGGCTTGGTGGGCTCATTTTTGAGTTCATCTTCGTATTTTAAACAATTCATTTTGTAAGATTTGTTGAAAAGATAATTCATATAAAAAAATAAAGGTAATTCAATATTGGTAACTCCATATTTTAATTACATTTGTCTTATAAAATTAAATGCGAAATATGATTTTGAACATAGATTGTTTAATTTTTTTTAAGGCGAATATAATTTGATCATCTGGCTACCAATAGCAGATCAACCTAATTTTTTTGTGTGGATACTCTTCTTGACAGATCCTAATGTAAATCAAAACACAAAACATGCAGCGGAATAAAGTGTTTAGATCATACCTCGTTTGATCTAAAACCTCGTGGATAAATCACGTGCTTCCATACTCAATCAATCAATCCCAGCAGTGGGGTGATATTACAATGGTGAATATCACCCACACAAACCACAGTGCAAAATGACTTTGATCGTTATTTTGGGAGAGAGTCAGTATCATGGGTAGAAACAAAACATACGTTGTTTCTCTCTTGGTTACCCATAACCATATATCAGATATATATTATATTTATCTCATTTATCCATTGGTTAAATGAGATAATATCTGATATCTATATCATCTATCCATATCATGATATGATAGATATATATCCTGAGTGGCTCATCCAAATAGGTTTGAATTTAAATTCAAAACCCATTTGGATGAGGTTCAAAAGGTTCTAAGGGTCATGCCACATGGGCGCCCAATTACTAACAATATACATAAATTTTGTACATAATGACATCTCTTACTTAAATTTAAGATCTACTGATCATATCTGTGCTCAAAATTCAATGCAGTTTTAGCCCATTTTTGCAATTGAGTTTCAAGGCTTTGATTTATTGTGCTCCTCCTTATACAACTTCACTATGTTTGATTTATTTTCAACTCTTTCATTTCTCAAACTTGTTTCAATTTTTGTAGTTGCAAGATTGAAGTTAATACTTACTAAGCTAGCAAGTGAAAATGAAACTGATTGAGATTATTTATACAAAATTTTCCCTATTTCAAATGTTAATGCAGCAGCAGTCTTATGTGCTATTTTTTATTATTATGTTTATGATTAAGGATCCAAGGACAAATTTTTGATGATACAATCTGAATTTTCATGTTTTTTTTTTTTGGTGTGTGTGTGTGTGGAAATTTCAGGGTTTGGAGATATGAGTTTTGTGTTAAAGACTTCAGATATGGCATCAAAACCCTTCATGGCAAGCAGATCGTCTATATCGACAAACTCAGTTGTGTCAAAGTTACAACATGTCTCTCTTGTTTTAGGCATTTGAGCTCTGTGAGAAGCTGGCGATTTTTTTTTGGATGAAGAGTACATATATTTTGTGTAGTAAAAATCACATGAAATGTGCAATTATATTGGATATATTGTAAATCATAAAGCATTATAAATTAACGCAGCAAATAAAAATAATTCGGATCATACCTTAATGACACAATCTCGTGGGTAAATCATGTGCTTCCAAAATTTGATCAGTCAACGAACCCAGTAGTGGAGTGATACTACAAAATGAGTATCACCCACACAAGTCACAGTGCAAAATGACTTGATCGTTGTTTTGTGGGAGAGAGTCAGAGAGAGAGTATGGAAAAAAAATGGTTATAGGTAAAAACCACATAACGTATATCTGATATACGTATCTCATAGATTAACCATATAATCTGATATATAACCACATATATATCAATCTATCCATCTATCCATATCTATTGATATGATAGATATAGATATCCTGAATGGTTATCCAAATAAGTTTTGAATTCAAATTCAAACTTATATGGATAAGGTTCAAAAGGTTCAGGTTCAAAGGGTCATGCTACATGGGCGCCCAATTTCTAACATCTCCCACTCGCACATGAGTTGGCATGACACTGCTACATCTCTTATCTCAATCTCCCAAAAAAAAAATAATCTCTTACTAGCCAATGCACCGTGTGACTGCTGAGAACACCTGCATGTGGGAGCTCTATACTAGAAACTCAAAATGAGCCAGCATAGAGACATCAACCCAAAAAGAACAGAAATAGTGTCTCATATACCCCAGACCCATCTAACTACACTGGTCCAAAAAAAACATCTCCAATCCCTAAAAAAAGAGCATGTTTGACCCTCTCAATTCTTGCAATATATTCACACTCAATCCGTCTCTCATATAGAGTGATGTGAGTTACCGGCAGTGAATATACAACAGTGGTGTAATACTAGATGATCTTCCCTTTACCCTCATGCCATTTAGTTTAGGATTGACTGCTTTCCCAGTGATGTCCCTTAAGGCCGAATCATACATGACCGCAGGCAACATACCAAAGTAGAAGAACATCAACCCCTTACCTCATGACATAGTCAAAAGTCACAAAAAAATACATAAGTGAAAGTCGTAT